CACCTCAATTGCTGCCACATGAGATGCCACATCGGACACCACCCGAACCAGCTTATTGCCCACTTGTCTTATCTCCTCTTCCGTCTGGTTTTCGACAAGCTGCAGCCTGGAAGGAGAAATGGAGATCGTGTTTTGGTATGTGGCAATCTCAATGTACATAACTACAATGCAATAAGACATAAAATAATTCCAAATTTACAAAACTGCCACAACACGCCCCCTTACTCGTACGCTGACGGGATGGATCCTGTCTGCGTCCGAGCCAAGAAACGCGCACCCGTACGGACCTGCACTTGTGGTGAGCGTATGGCCGCGTAGTCCCATAGAGTAGGATTAGCCGGCTTTCCAGCCAATCAGGAAGCCGGGCGCTGTGTAATGACGTGGCGCCTGGCTTCCCAATTGGCCGGGATGCCGGCTCCATGCTCCCTCGTCATGAAGTGACGAGGAAGCATGAAGCCGGCTTCCCGTCCAATCAGAAAGCCGGGCAGCACATCATTACACGGCGCCTGGTTTCCTGATTGGCCAGCTTCCGTCCAATCAGGAAGCCGGGCAGCACGTAATTACACGCTGCCTGGCTTCCTGATTGGCCGGGAAGCCAGCTCCATGCTCTCTCGTCACAAGTGCATCACAAGTGACGAGAGAGCATGGAGCCCGCTTCCCGAGCCCGCTTCCCGGCCCCGCTTCCTGTGTCATCACACCCTGCCCGGCTTCCTGATCCTGGAAGTATCGGGCTAGGCATCGGAGCATTTGGGCGAGTACTCGGGATCGGCACCGATACTAGTATCCCTAATAATTATTAGCATCCAAATTCTGCCTTTCATCCTGAAACCAGCACAACACAGAATCTGTCACATACTGTATAGGGGCTTTACAGGATGTGGTGGGACCCACGTGTGATCAGGTGACATTGGATCCCCCAGAGTACAGAGTTGAAAGGAAGTCTGTGTTCCACCAGGGACCCCCGCACAGAGGTACAGACTTAGCTGCGTGCTGATCCCAGGTTATCACCCTCTAGGTTCACCCTGCTCTAATGTGTGATGACTAACCTGTACCTGTGACAGCAGAGAGGGCAGGCACTGCGAGGCAGAGGGGAACTAAAGATGTTGGAGTAAGCGGGAACACAGGTCTGTGATGGAGCAGAACAGGTAGTAACACTGCAAACCACACCAGAGGATACAGGATCATAGGTTGAGGTAAGGAAAACCAGGATACAGGTCAGGGGTCGGGGCATGCGACAGACAAGTCAATGGCAGTAGGAAGCAAGAGGTCCAAGAAGAAGCAGGACTTGGGGCGAAGGCTCGGCAGGTTGCTCGGGTGCTGGTCACGTGGACAGGAGGTCCTTCAAATAAATGTGCACCAATAACATTGGCCAGAAACCGGATGTGGCCATGGAGTTAGGGATGCACCAATATCGGTATCAGTGCCGATACTGAGTATTTGGGCGAGTTCTTGTACTCGCCCAAATGCTCAGATACCAGAACCTCCGGTCAGAGGAAGGTTTCCTCTGAGCGGCAGTGCCATAGGGGAACATGGAATCAGCTTGCCGGCGAATAATGACCCGCCTCCCGGTTTCCAGGTTGGCCGGGAAGCCGGCTCCATGCTGTTTGGCCGGGAAGCCGGTTGCAGCATCGAGCCGGCTGTTTCGGCCAGCTCGATGCTGAAACCGGCTTTCTAGCCAGATCAGCATGAATAATGACCCGGCTTCCAGATTGGGCGGGAATCCGGCGCCATGCTGATCGGCCGGGAAGCTGCGACCATGTTGTTTGGCCGGAAAGCCGGTTTCAGCATCGAGCCGGCTGTACGGCCAGCACAATGCTGAAACCGGCTTTCCAGCCAATCAGCATGAAGCCGGCTTCCCGGCCAAACAACATGAAGCCGGCTTCCCGGGCAATCAGGAAGCAGGGCGGCATGTCATTACCCACGGCCCGGCTTCCTGATTGCCTGGGAAGTTGGGTCCATGCCAGTCAAAGCACTGGCATCGTCGAGTACTGAAAGCCAAGTATCGGTGCATCCCTACATGGAGCCTCCGGGAGATCCCAGAAGCTTCCATGGTCACGTGACAGAGGGAGGCGGGTGGCACAGGAATGTGGAAGTGACTATCTGACATACACCTTCCTGTGTGCCGCATTGTAGAAATAGATCTGAATGATAATGGGGTTCCGCCTCACCTGCTCATTCAGCTCCTGGATCTCCATCTTCTTATTAAGAGACTTTGTTATCTGAGCTTTGGACTGAGTCAGCATCTCCAGTAAGGGGAGCTGTAAAGGAAATGACAAATAATCAGAGATCGGTCAGACGACTCGCCGATAAAAATGCACAGAATGTTTTATACATGTTTAGAAGTTAAACCAGAAATAAACCAGAACTGCGTTTTAGATTTGGATAAAGTGGTGAAGGGTAGAACTAGAGGTGCACCGAAATGGAAATGTCAAAGCCGAAACTAAAAAAATTGTCAGGCCGAAACCGAAAGTTTTTTATTTTAAGGTTTTCAAATTTTACATGGCAGGTCCCCTTTATGGAGACATCAGGTGTCTCCAAGACCCCTAATGTCACCTAGGGACCCCCCCAGAGAAGCTGATGAAGCAGAGATCGGCTTCATCAGCTTCTGTAGCTGGAGAGTGACACTGAATGCAGGAAGTGATGTCATATACATCACTTCCTGCATTCGGGGACGGAGAAAGTCTATCGATCTCCTGTCACAGAGCAGCCGTGCCGGTCCCGGCCGCATCGGACACAGCGGATCTCGGGACCAGCAAGGCAGTGACAGCTGCTTCTATACAAGCGGTCGGGTGTCTCTAGAGATCGCTTGAATGTAAAGCTCCCAACCGGCAGGGAAGCTGCTCGCCGGGCTCCGCCGTCCTCTCGTCACAGACCAGAGGACGAGTGGAATTTTCCAGCCCTGGTCATCAGGTATCTTTATTACAAGGACTTCAAAAAGGATAAAACATGGCGAGATGTTCATGTAAAGCCGAGATGTGCAGCACTGCCGCCCCTCCATCTCATTAATGGTTAGGGGGGGGGGGGGGGGGCTGACCCTCATAGTAATGGTCAAAGGCAGAATCCGTGCCTGCTCCAGTTCCCCAGTTTTGAGTCAAGAACACCGACTGGCTCAGGAACTGTGCCAGTCAAACAGAATGGAGTCGGCTTCCCGGGCAATCGAGAAGCCTTCCTTATTGCCCGGGAACACGGCTCTATGCAATCAGAGAACACAAAAAGGAGCATACGCTATGAGCACACCGCTGTTATCGCCCACAGGTGATCCACCCCCCCAGGATCCTTACATTCAACTTGTTCCGGCAGTGGTGCAGACTCTCCTCGCTGTCCAGGTTACAGTCGATCTGGAGGTCGTAACCGTGGGCGTTATCCGCCGTGGAGGGAATGAGCCGTAATTTTCGGGCCAGCTTGTGAAATTCCGCGATGTCCGTTTCCACCTGGAGAGAAACAAAAACGTGCCGAAAAAAGTCAGTCTACACCGAATTCACCAAACTACATGTGTATGAATCAATACGTGGAATGTCATCTTATTATCCGCTGAACCGATAGGAGGAATCAAGACATTTTTATAATCATTTTGTAGCCCTGAAGAAGGGGGGGGGGCGGGGATCCCTGAGTCGTGTTGGCCGTTTCATGTTTTATGACTTAATATAAGGGATGCACTGGTATCGGTATGGATACCAAGTATGTGGTTAAGAACTCATACTCGCCCAAATGCTCTGATACTAGAACTTCCGGTCAGAGGGAGATTTCCTCTGACCTGCAGTGCCACGAGGAAAGATGGAGCCGGGAAGCTGGCTCCATGCTGTTTGGCCGGCTAGATGCCGATGGGCCGGGAAGGAGGCTTCCCAGCCAATCAGTGTCGAGCCGGCCAAACAAATCTGATAATATAGCTACTCGACCCCCACCCTGCAGGCACCTCATTCCGCCCCCATGATCTTTAGCATTCTTTAACGTACCGGTCCCACGGCCAGATCTGCCGTCTCCTGTGTGCACAGCGCTCATGTGATCGGCCCTCAGCCTGCTACTGCGTATGCACAGAATTTCTGAATGAGCGCAGTAGCAGCCTGAGCGCCGATCACGTGGGCGGTGTACACACAGGAGAGGTGGGCAGATTCGGGAGAGCGGTGTCTGCCCAGCTGGCCGAGGGACTGGTACGTTAAAGAATGCTGAGGATCCATGTGAGAGGAATTGGGTGCCTGCAGGGGGGGTCGTGTCCACCATATTGTCAGGTCTGTTTGACTTGCCTCGATGCCTATTGGCTGGGAAGCCGGCTTCCCGGCCAATCAGCATCCAGTCGGCCAAACAGAATGGAGTCGGCTTCCTGGGCAATCAAGAAGCCTTCCTGATTGCACGGGAAGACGGCTCTATGCTACCGGAAGTACCGGTATTGGTGCATCCCTACTTAAGATCTTGGACTCCTCGACCCCTCATCTGGAGCTCTCAGACTTTGTATTTGTAGAGTTTCTCTTCAAAGGATAATTCCAGTTTTCCAACAAATGTGAGAAACTGAAATTACCCCCCACAAATTGCTCCCCTCCCTTTGGGGGAACCGCTGTTCCCTCCCGCTGCAGCAGGGTACTCTGCATGTAGAATAGCAAAGAGTGCTTCTCATTGGTCAGTGTGGTCGGGGGGGGAAGAGGGAACGGCAGGTCCCCGAAGGTGCGACTAGGCACAGGGGATAGTTTTATGGGGGGCAATTACATTTCCCTCGCATTTGCTGAGAATCTGGAATTACCCAGATTCTGACTGGGGGGAGGGGGTGGCAGAGAAGACAGATTTGTTGGGGTAAATTCAGTTTCTCACCATTGATGGGAAAGTAGAAATAAAAGAAGGGAAGACCCTGAGCTTGGGCGGGGTAGAGATTTGTGGGGGTCATTTTAGTTTCTCACATTTGATGGGAAACAGGAATTACCCTTTAAGGGGTACCCTGCTGTTGTTGAGAGCCCTGACCTAATCTGACCTACATACTGATAAATTGAGATTCGGTCAAGGTGCGAGTTCAGGGCGCTGGCGCCGTCAACGTGTGATTTCAGGGCGCCAGCGCCGTCAACGTGCGATTTCAGGGCGCTAGCGCCGTCAACGTGCGATTTCAGGGCAGCGCGGCCAACGTGCGATTTCGGCGCAGTGTACTACATATAAAGTGAACTACAATGATGATGTCATTACCGATTCTTTGATCTTGGCGTATTTCAGCTCTTCGCTCCATAGAAGCTGCTTCTCCTCGTCCAGCTCCTTGGTCAGCTTGGTCAGCGTCTCCATCAGCTCGTTCTCCTCGTATTTGATCCTCTCGATGTCGGCTACGGAGAACTTCTGGTTATCCAGGATGTGCTTCAGCCTCAGGTTCTCCTCCTTCACGGCTTCGACCTCCAGCTCTGGAGAGGAAGAGAGAGGGGACCGCCGTGAGGATCTGATTTCACCGTCTGTCTGATACTTCTCAAATATACAGGAAGTGAGGGATAATCCCCCCAACAGGGATACGTGGCAAAAACAAACATTTCCTAGAACCCGTCAGGTTTTTTTTTATTGTTGAGATCGGCCTTTTTTATGTCCTGCAACCTTATGACGGGGACAGAATAGGAGCAGAAGAGAAATCTCCCAATGAGGGCAACCTGTCCTGGTGACAACTTCCTCCCTTCAAATTCCTCTCACTTCCTGTTGTGTCTCCAGTAAGTGAAGGGAAATATTTTCAGTGTATACATGGGTCAGTGAAATCGTAGATGTGGTTCAATTCAAGACGGTGGCCCAGCTCAGACTATTGTTACTCAAGCTGTACTCCGGGACACACGGACATTTTGCCTAATAAGTCTCCTCCATGGGCACAAATTAAAAGCGCATCCACCCCCCCACGACTCCCTTGCCATTTTAAGCACTTGCCACACATACATAAATGGCCGGGAAGGTCGCCCTTCGGATGCGGGTGGGCGCTTTGAAACGTCCTTATGTCCCTATCCTGCTAGTGCACGCTGTCTTGCATGTTCGTGAAATTGTCAGAATTTTAAATGGCTGCTTACATACAAGCGGTATGATCTTCCCTCCGGTGTTGTGAATGCAGGAAGTGATGTTTATGGACTTCCCTTCCGCATTCAGATGTCATTCTAAAGCTACAGAAGCCGGGGGAGGGGCTCTGCTTCATCAGATTCTTAGGAGGTCCCTAGGTGACATTAGGGGTCTTAGACCCTTGATGTCGCCATAAGGAGGGCCGGTCACTGTAATTTGATATCACATAGGGGGATTCTTAGCAATAAAATGTAAACAAAAAAGAAAAGGAAGAAGAGGTAAAGTCTCACAAAAACAGTTTAAAGTCCCCCGCCCCCACATATACACTATATTGCCAAAAGTATTGGGCCCCTCCCCCTCCCAAACATTGGATTCAGGCGTTCCGTGACATTTCCTGGCTACTAAATATTCCGCGGTCACCTGTTACTGGGATTATAACAAAGTGGAAGCAACCGGGAACAACAGCAGCTCAGCCAGGAAGTGGTCGGCCACGTCACATGACAGAGCGGGGTCAGCGCATGCTGAAGCGCACAGTGCGCAGAAGTCGCCAACTGTCTGCAGAGCCAATAGCTACAGACCTCCAAACTCCATGCGGCCTTCAGATTGGCGCAACAACAGTGCGTAGAGAGCTTCATGGAATGGGTTTCCATGGCCGAGCAGCTGCATCCAAGTGCAATGCAAAGCGCGGGGTGCCGTGGTGTAAAGCGCGCCGCCACTGGACTCTAGAGAAGGGGAGGCGTGTTCTCCGGAGGGACCAATCACGCTTCTCTGTCTGGCAATCCGATGGGCGTGTCTGGGTTTGGCGGTTGCCAGGGGAACGGTACTTGCCTGACTGCATTGTGGGACAGACGAGGAGAGTACTGGCCTATCAAACCATAAGTTCATAGGGGGGGGGCGGGACGGGACAGACCAAGAATCTGAGCAGCCTGGGCCCTCACACTGCAGTGAGCAGCAAAGTAACTACATTGTTGCTCATACCCCAAAAACGACATGACCGGTGGCCCGGGGAAGGGGCGGGCATAGTGGCCACCGGTCTTTCTGACAGGAAACCAGGGATAGCAACCAATCAGCCGACTGCGGTTCCGAGACATCCGATTGGTTGTCCTGTGTATGTAAACCTACCCACGGCCTCCAGCTCCTCGCTGACGCTGCCGACACGCTGGTCCAAGAGCGAGAAATGGGATTCGATCTCGGTCAGGTAATTCTGATATTTCTGGATGTCGGTCTGCAGGGTTGCCTTCAGTTTTCTCATGGAGGCCAAGCGGTCCTGAAACCGGAAAGTAAAATCAGATCAATAATCACGAGGCCGCTTCACACTACTGCCCTAAATGAGGATGACCCCCCCCTCAGGGCCTAAACTACGCGCACTTATCTTCATTTATAGTCACTAGGAAACATTGGGGGACATTATTCAAAGTCACATCATTTGTGACAATAAACCTGTTGCAGAGTCCAGCTGAATGTGCAACTGATTCCATAATCCAGTGCTATTAGTGTTCATGAATGCTTATAGAAGTGC